TAAGAGAGAACAGTAAAATATACACAACAGAATGTGATTCTAAAGACAAGTTTACAAAGGACAAAGTGTGTAATACTTATTCTGCTTTAAGGAAGAAAAAGAGAGAGGTGGGGTTAAGAATATGCAGATAAGACATAAAGGTCTTGAGTAGTGAAGGCCATCTCCAAGAAAATTACACAACAGCGCAGAAAGGACAGCAGAGCAATGGCATAGAGGTATGAAAGGATAATATGTATTCGGGAATAGTTCACTTCAGTTTGTTATCAGTTGCTGTGGAGTTGGCTCCTATTCATGGTGACCTCATGTGTAACGGGATAAAATGATTAAATCTTGTGCCTCTCTCACGATCGTGAATATGTTTAAGCATTGCTGGGGCTATTGTGTCATCCACCTCATTGTGAGTTTTCTTCATTTTTCTTGACTTTCTACTTTATCGAACATGGTGTTCTTTTCTAGCAATTGTTCTTTCCTGGTGGCATGCTCCCCATCGTCCCTTCTCTCTGAAATCAAGAATACGCTTTCTGAACTTCCTTCAGCATGGTCTTGTTTATTCTTTTGGCAGTCCAAAGTATACTCAGTATTCTTCACCAAGACCGCTATGTGAAAACATAGGTTTTTCTTCTATTTCCTTTTTCCTTTGTCCAGTTTTCACAAGTGTATGAGGTAATTGAAAAGAACATGACTTTGACCAGGCTTATCTCAATCAGCCAAGCGGCGTCTTTGCTTCTTAACACTTTAAAGAATTCTTTCAGCAGATACTTTCAGCACAATTGATGTTTGATTTCTTGGCTGCTGTTTTGATATACATTGGTTGTGATGTGAGTTGTTTGAAATAATTTACCATTTTTACAACTTCAGTTCTTTGCCATTTATTGCAATGTTTATTGGTCCAGCTATGAGGATTTTAATTTACTTTATATATAGATATAATCCATGCTAATGGTCTTTTATCTTATCAATTAATGCTTCAAGTTTCCTCCACTTGCAGCAAGTCTGGTTGTGTCATCTGCATATTGCAGGGTTTTATTTCATATTCATCTTACTGGAATGTTACATTCTTCATTGCATAGTCTAACATCAAAGATTATTTATCCAGCATGCTGATTGAATAAGTAAGGTGAAAGAATGTGACCCTGCTGCATTCCTTAGAGTTTAACAAATGCTTATTGAGGCCTATTCTGTGTCATAAGGGTGTTCAGGTGGCCTAGTAGTAAGAAACTACATTGTAATACCAAAGACACTTGGTTCAAATCCACCAGCTGCTCTGCTGGAGAAGGATGGTCATTTTCATTCTGTATGATTAGTTGCCTTTGAAAACCCACTGGAGGGTCAGCTGCTTGACGGTACACAAAAATAACTATTCCATAGACAGATGTAGTTTGTAAGAATAGCTATTCCAGGTATAGTGAGAAGAATCACACATCTGTAGATAGTTTCAGTCTGAGCTGACAATTTAGAATAATACCTTTTTGAATTCAGGCTTTAGTCTTTGAGCCTTCAATGTCTTAACATTTCTCACAGAATACACAAACAACACCTGGTTGCATTTGACTCCCACGATCATTAAAAATATTTCACTCTCATTCAGTTAAGAGTTGTAAAGTTTGAGACCAGAGACATACTGTACGTTATTCAAAGCCACACAGAGGAGTCAGGATATATGTGTTGGCATTCCTGGCCCCTGTCGTGGTCCTGGTTCTCTAGTGGAGTCTGGACACAGAGGCACTATTTTAAGATCGCTCATAATTGGTAAAGAGAGATTTAAATAGATGGACACCCTTCACCAACTGAGATCATGAAAAACTCAAGCTTGTGGAGAATAAAGACATTTTAGGTTCTTCCTGCATGCATAATGAAAGTGCCAAGCCACACAGGTTGGCTTTGCTAAAGGCAACTTGAGCCAATTGTGTTGCTGGCCTGGTTCAGTTTTGGGGAAGGAAGGTGGCCTAGCTCCAGCATCCCTTCTAGCCCTCCTTTGTGGTTTAAAGTGCATGAGGATGTGGTTTCACAATGTAGATCTGTGCTCACAATGTAGATGAGTGTCATAGTTGCATTGTTTGCTTGAAAAATGTCAACTGGAACAAGTTACAAGCTGGCAAGAAAACTAAGATTTGTGATTGATGTGCTCCTGAAAAGATACAGGCTTGCTTTTAGTTACATGTGCAGTTAAGCAAAGAGCAGAGAAACTTTAAGATATATCTGTTGGAACAAATTAAAGTTAAATGGAAGAGGAGGAAGATCAAAGGATGAAAAGATTTGTGATCAGGAATAATGAAGAAAAAGAGTTTAGCTCATTTATCCTGGAGAGAAGACACAGGTCTTCTTCACATATCCAAACCACAGTCATTACAGTAATGGTGACATTGTATAACACCAGCTTTCAATCCTACAGTCGTTTTCAACTGCTCAAAGTAGAGCTATTCAACCAATATGGAGCAGTGACTTCACAATGAAGAAAATGAATGTAACGTGGGAGTTGTGCAGAGGAGATTGTTTTACTAGTGTCAAACCAGACTCAATAACCTCCAAACTCCAATTATCCACGACTGTATGAAACAGAAAGAGGCACATAGCTAAGGGTCATTTAATAATAATAATAATAATAATAATAATAATAAAGGAAGAGAATGTTAAAAGTATATTCATAGCCTTGTTACTAAATAACTCTTAAAATTGAGCTTCTATTATGTGCTAGACATCACATTAGCTAATGTATGTGCATAGCTCTGTTTGGAACTTCAGATCCAGCATTAGAACTGACTAAATCCTAATCTCAATTCTGCCATTCAGTGAAGATGTGGTTCCATATAGATAATCACTTCTCTACGAGCCTTGTATTTGTCCTCTATACAATGCTTATCCTGTAAGAAGATCAATATTATGTACTTAAATGACCACTCAAAATTAATAATATTATTCCTATCTTATGATTGCTACTAAAAAAAGCATTGTACAAGCAGCAAGTAAAATTTCAGGAAGCTATGTACCATCCACTGCCAGAAAAACAAACAGATTCATCTTGGAGAGGATTAAACCAAGCTACTCCTTGGAGGCAAGGATTCTGGGGCTTCGTCTGACATACTTTGGACATGTTGCCAGGAGGGACGGGTCCTTGGAGAGGGACATCATGCTTGGGAGGGTGGAGGGACAGCGCAGGAGGGGAAGACCCTCTATGAGATGGATTGATTCTGTGACTGGGGTAATCGGGATGGGTGTGTCAGAGGCGGTGCGGTTGGCGCAGGATAGAGCAGGGTTAGGGCTGTTGTGCATAGGGTCGCTATGAGTTGCAAACGACTCGACGGCACATAACAACAACAACAACATTATTATTTTTAAATTTTTTATTGTTTTTTTATACCATAATTCACTTTTTTGTAATCCTTTATAGACATTTTTTCATTCATGTACATTTTGTTTTAGACATAATTTCTATATATTGTGGGGTTTTATCCCTTTTGATTTTTAATATAAACTTTTTCTTTTATACTGGTTTACTTACAAAGTTTGTAGACATTATTTTTCATTCCAGATCTTGCCCATTTCCTTAACCGACCCCTCCCTCCACTCATCAAATTATATGACCCTATGATTACACCACCCCCACCTATCCTCACTCTTCTGCTCCCCCCCCCTTAGATCCTCATACATGTTTTACTAGTTATCTGTTTCTACAATATTGATCTTATACAATATTTGTCCTTATGGGACTGAGTTAGTTCACTTAGCATAATGCTCTCCATTCCCTCCCAAGTTAAGTAGTGATTTACAAAATCATTGTTGCTGTGTGAAGAACTATTCTTGGAGTAGGTGACATGAGGAGGGAAATACTGATGAGTTAAATATGTCAAGGGATTTACTGAGTGAAACTTCAGCAATGCAAGAAGGTGACTGGAAATAGGTATTCTCAGAATGGAGGCTTTTTATTTAAAGTCTTTAAATATAGACTTTAGCACTGCTTAGGAAAAATCAGATATAATGAAGAAAAAGTTCAGCAACAAAACTGAGACTTAAGGAACCTGGATTCCTGTCTTTAAAGTAGTTCCTCACTGCTGCCCTACTGTCTATCTTCTATAATTCTCCACTCAGGTTCCTGTGACATTCAATCTAGAACAGTCTCTCAGTGGGTATCCTGTGAGAGGGAGTAGCCCTCCTGAGATACTGATAAGTCCATCCCCCGTGGTACCTAAAATATTCTCATTCATGGAGGGACAGCACAGAAGGGGAAGGCCCCCTATGAGGTGGATCGATTCAGTGACTGGGGTAATCCGGATGGGTGTGTCGGAGACAGTGCGATTGGCACAGGACAGAGCAGAGTTTAGGGCTGTTGTACATAGGGTCACTATGAGTCGCAAGCGACTCCATGGCACATAACAACAACAACAACAACATACCCTACTGTGACAGATAGACATTGTTTTCTATTAATTCTGTCTAGTGAAAAGGGATGATTCAGTGGGAAAAGGAATGGGTTGTTAATCAGTAATTACGATTTTCATAGCATTGCTGAATGGGTCCAAATAAACTAGCTCTGACATATTTTTGGTCAGAAAAAAGTATCAGAAATGTAACACAGCCTAGGGGCCCAAGATTAAGAGGGCTGCTTTTCTACCATTCAATCCAAATAGCCAATGTGAGCAAAAGGGAATGTGAGGCTGTCTGGTTAAGATTTGGAGTTAGGAATGAGACATTCCTTTGTAGGTCTGAGTAAGCTTCATTTCTTTCTGTGTCTCAGTTCTCCTCAGTATAAGAAATCAGACTGGAAGAACTTTAAGACCCTCTCAAATTTGACTGTGTTTCCAAAGACAAAACGAGAGAGGACGTTCAGTTCTCTGTCTCTAAGATGCAAGGGGTATTTGTAGAATTAAGTGCATACCACCTCCTCGCCAGTTTACTCTGCTTTGCATGTCTGAACAGCTCCTTTGCGTGTCCACCCTGGTCTGCTAAGCAGAAGTTTGGCTTTGGCTCGAATCACTGTTCTCACAATGTGTTTTCTCTTGCAGCAACAGCGACAACTTGACCTCCTGACAATAACCAGCCCTGGTGAGTAGATGCAGTCACTTTACTTTGCCTTTTTTTCTTATTCCCTGGAACAATGCCTAGATGTGCGGCCACATGCATTTCCTGCCCGTCTCCTTTGACTCCCTGAATGAACAACAAAAGTCTTGCGCCATGAGCTCCCCTTCTCCACTCTATCCAGCCTTTCTTTATTTGACGTTTTGGGGGTTTTGTTGGTTTGGTTTATTGTTTTTCTTCCTCCAAGGTCTCTGCTGCCTGCTCTTGATACTGGAAATGGCAGGCTGATGCTAGGATATGGCACTGCATATGCTAGAGCCAGGTTCAAAACGCATGGATTTAAGTGACAAGGAAGTGTGCTGGTCTCTTGAGAAATTAGTTGTAAATTAATAGGCAGAGAGCAAATTGACTAGCAGTAGCATAGGCTGAAGGAAACATGGTTCATGAAGAAGGGCCCCATCTGAGAAAATGACCTGGTTCTTATCTACTATGTGGATCGTCGGAATGACTCTTGTCTTTCATCTTCACTCAAAAGATGAAATCCCTCAACAAAACTGTTGTCAGGAAGTGGAGAAGTATTGTCTTTCCCATGGACTTGGCATCTAGCCTAGTGGGATGCTAGGTAGTTCAGTTTTGCCAGAGAGGTAGGTATTTTACTTTGGTTTGAGACTTAAACCAGCTAAGAGATGGAATTCTCCCCCTGAGAGGATGGAAAATAATGGTAGCATGGTTAGTGAGCATTCAGAGTTGGGCATGGGATTTCACCTTTATCCATGGATGATATTAAAACTATTTAACAGTCCTGATGGCTCCCTGCTTTGCTGGGTATTAATATTTTTGTGACAGAGTGGTCACAGAAATACTGATGGACTTCTGGGTGTGTTTCAGTATTTTAACCTGTATAGCTGGTTTGTGTGAACTTTGCCTTCAGCCAAGCTTGCCATAGTATATCCAGGGACCAGTTGACTTATTTCAAAAGATACTGAGAATTTGTTTTCTGAATTCAATATTCTCTCACAAATATTGACCATTTAATGAGACCAAAATATATTATGATAACTGCACATGCAAATCAATCTTATGTATCACCATCATGTAGATTTCTTTCAACTTAAAACTTCAGAAAACAAAGTTTGCGGAGAAATTACTCTGTCTCTTAGAATGAGATCTGTAATTAATGGTCATATGCAGAAATTCTAGATCATGACACTAGAGTGACTCACTCACATGACTTAACCAATGCTTCCTTACTGAGATGCTGTCTTGTTCTTGTCATTTATAATTGTGCCTGTCCACATGTACTGACCCAGACTACCTGTTTCTATTCTCTGATATTATACTGCAGTATGAGTTGGAGATTTTTTTAATGTAACTTTGGGTGCTATAAGAGGAAACTTTCTGACTGCTAACTGAATTGCTTTTTATACTAGCTTCTCCCCCCGACCCCCAAATGCTACTGTAGAAATTTAAGCAACAGTAGTGAATTTCAGTGCACACCTTTTAGTCGAAGAATGCTACATGCCTCCGGAGTTTGAGGGGTGGAATGGTAAATTTGTCTCATTTTGAAGGAAAGGAGAATATCTTTTGGGTCAGAATGGTATAAGAGGTGTATTATGGCAGACTGGTGTTCTCCAGGTGGGTTGAAATATTGATCCCCTCAGCTCACAGTGCATAAAAGTATGACCTAAATTAGCCAGACTCCCAGACAGCTTGTACTGCCTTGACTTGAAAAGTTTAGGAAGCACTCTTAACCCATGTATTATCTAAATACTGTAGACCATGTCAAAACCACTTTTCTTCACTGTTGCTAACCAACTTCACTATCAAGTTCATCCCTATTCTCCGCCACACCAGAAGCAGTTAACAAATGCCTTGCTACCACTCTTGGGCTCCAAGTGGTATGTACTGGCTTTTTTGCACTCCTCCTCAAACCACCTCAGCACAGGGCTGCAGTCTAACGCCACCACTTCTCATAGACTGGGAGTTTTCTAAGTGCTAAAAGGACATTTTGATGCTCCCAACAATTTATGTAATAGCTCCTCTAAAATTGTATTTTATTTATTGTGAATAATTTTGAGTATACATAAAAAGGAGGAGTTATAATGCAGTCATTGACTGTCCATCCTCTAAACACCGCAATTTTATCATTATCACTAAAATGCTAGCTGTGCTACAAATTCCATGTTTAAAAAGTTTAGATATAGTTGTGAATTTTCTATACTTTTTACTATATTATTCTCTCTTCCCTAAAGATAAGCATGGTCATGAATCCAATGTTTATACATTAATATATTAAAAATTGTATTATTTTAAAAATTTCCATAAATAGTATAATTTGAGGAACATCTTTCTGTGGTGTTTGCTATAATTATTTTTATATATTGTGGAGATTTAGTCATGTTGATAGACATAACTCTGTTTCATTCATGTTAACAGCTATATAGTAATATGAAAAATATTGCCAAATAATTCCATGTTAGTGATGATAATTTAAATTACTTCTGCACCTGCGAACAATGCCTCTATGAACATTTATTTGAATTTCTTCTGTTTATGTCATCATTTTAGGGTATATGCCTAAAAGAAAGTTTATTATATGCAGTTTCACATTTGCTATATAATGGTCAATCGTTTCTAACATAGTTGGACAAATATATACACTTTCAAGGGCAATGTTTGAGCTTTCATTTTCTTTTATACTGAAATTATCAGATTTTTAAATGTTTACTAGTCCTATAATAGGCTTGAGATGGTACAGTATTGTTATTATAACATATATTTCCATAATTGGAAATGGGTTAAATATCTTTTCATGTATTTAGTGGCCATTTCCATTTTCTCTCCTCTGAATTTACCTTTTTTTTTATTTAATTCATT